TTTTTTTTTTTTTTTTTTTTTTTTTTTTTTTTTTACAAGTTACAAGATACTCTTCTTTTGATTATTTTTCACCATTTCAAAAATTTAAAAGCCATTTGCAACTTGCAGAACATAACAGATGACAGTAGGTCAGATTTGGTCCATAGGTCCTGCTCTAACACCTCATTGATCTATTTTATAAAGCAAGACCCAAGTAACTCAGTAGCATCCCACATAAACACAAGAATATTTCTAAAAATTAAGAAATACCCAGTACTGAAGAAAAATATCACCATAGCAGGTATCCAAGTGAATTAAACAATAAGATCAGAAACAAGGCAAGGATGTCTGCTCTCACCATTTCTATTTAGCATTGTAATAGAGGTTGTAGCAAGTGCAATAATAAGGCAACCAGATTGAAATGAACAAAACTGTCTTTATTGACATACATGATCATTTGCATAGAATCCTACACTCTCAACAAGTAAACTGTGAGAACAAACTAGTGATTTTTATAAGGTTGCATGATCCAAACACATTTTTTAAATAATCAACTGTATTTTTATGTAGGAGCAACAGACACCGAAAAATTTTTAAATGCTATTTATAATTGAATAAAAATATGAAATACTTATGGATAAATCTGATAAAAGATGGACAAGATATGTATATTGAATACTAGAAAGCGCTTTTGAGGAAAATGAAACTAAATAAACCCATTTATTTAGAATTAAATCTGTATTTATGGATTGGGAGATTCATGGTTAAAATGTCAATTCCCATGCTTACTGTAGCATTATTCCCAATAGTCAAGATTTTTTTTTTTAATCAATTTAAGTGCCCAACAGTGGATGAATGGATTTAAAAAAAAAAAAAAAAGTGTGGTATGTATAAGCAATAGAATACTATTCAGCCATAAAAAGAAGGAAATCCTGTAACTTGTGACAACATGGAAGAACCTAGAGGACATTATGTTAAATGAAACAAGACAGGCACAGAAAGGCAAACACTGAACGATCTCACTAATATGCAGAATCGAAAAAAGTCAAGCATATTCTTCACTTTGCTCTTATGAGTTTAACAGGAGCTAGGTGATGGAGGAAGGATGAGGGAATTAGAGAGATGTTGGTCAAAAGACACAAAATTTTAGATAGTTTCAAATGAATTTAAAAGATCTATTGTGCTAGGTTTAGAGGCTTAGGCAGGAAGACTGCAAATTCAAGGCCAGCATGAAGTTCAAGGTCAGTTCAGCAAGACTGTCTTAAAATAAAATAAAAAGGAGCTGGGTAGGTAGCTTAGTGTGCAAGGCCCTGGGTTCAATCTTCAGTCCCTTTAAAAAACAAAAAAAAAAAAAAAAAGGCTCTATTGTACATCATGGTGACTAATATACTTTAAAATTGCTTAAAGAGTAGACTGGAAGTGTCCTTTCTCTATATATGTAAGAATGTTTATGTTAGCTTGATTTAGTCATTCCACAATGTATTAATATTTTCAAAATATCATATATAATTTTTTCTATTAAAAATTAAATTTTTTTTTTTTAAAAAAGTCAAAGTGCTAGAGTATTACTCAGGGGTAAAGCACTTGTCTAGCAGGTACAAGGCCACGAATTCAATCCTTAGTACCAAATGTACAAATAAAAGGTAAACCTACCTCTACTACATGGTTCAGTCATTCCACTTATAGGTATTTACCTAAAAAAAACTGAAATTTTGCCAGGTGAGATAGCACAGGCTTATAATCCTAGCAACTTGGGGAACTGAGGTTGGGAGCAAGTTTGAGGCTAACTCAGCAACTTAGAGAGAACTTGTCTCAAATAAAAAATAAAAAGAGTCATGGTAGAGTGCCCCTGGGTTCAATTCCCAGTACCACAAAAAAAAAGAAAAAAAAAAAAAGAATCTACAAATAAAGTACATGTTCACAGCAGCTGTACTTGTAACAGCCCCAAACTGAAAACCATGCAAATATCTATTAGTAGGTGAACAGTTACACAGATTGTGGTAAATGTGAATAATGGGATACCATATTATAATATAAAAAAATGAAATACTGATATACACAACATGGATAAAGTAACTATGTTTAGTAAAAGCCAGATCCCCTGCCCTCCCAAAAGAGCACATACTGCATCATTCTACTTATGTAAAATTATAGAAAACAGAAAATAATTTATAGTGACAGAAAGCAGATCAGCAGCTGTCTAGGGATGGAGGAGGGGTAATAGAAAGAATTTTAAAGAGACATGAAGAAAACCTCAGGAAGTAATGATTATGTTCATTATTTTGATTGTAGTAATAGCTTCATATGTGTATACATATGTCAAAGCTTATCAAATCATATGCTTCAAATATGTGCTAGTTATGATAATGTTAAATATTCCTCAATAAAGTTGATCTTTAAAAAGTAGATTTAGAACAATATATCTGTACATGCCGACATTGGAAAAAATGTTCATAACACACATTAGTAAGAAAAATAAACCTATGGAATAATACCTAAAAGACAGCTATGTACCTCATGACACCATTTATATATGTGTGTTTAGACTGAATATATGTAGGTATATACAAAGTCTGAGGAAATACATATTGATCCATTTATGGTTAGAAATTGCAGAAACGGAGAGCTTTTCATCTTGTCTCTATAGTGCTTAAATTTTGTAAAGTATACATTACTTCTGAATTTTAAAAAATAGAAGTTACAAAATAATTAGCGGTTTTAATAACTAACAAGCAAGATGAACTTGAGGTGAAAGTCAACCGATTTACTTTGCAGATGAAAAAGGTGGAGTCCTGGGCTGGGGTTGTGGCTCAGTGGTAGAGCGCTTGCCTAGCAAGTGTGAGGCACTGGGTTTGACCCTCAGCACCACATATAATAAAATAAAGGTCCATCGACAGCTAAAAAAAAATATGAAAAAAAAAAAAAGGTGGAGTCCTGTGTTAGAAGAACAGTCAAGAGCATATGCACTAAGGTCCCCTAGACTTATCAGATTCAGACCTGTTCTCACCCAGTGGAAAAATCACTACTTCCATCAGCTATTAAAACAGGTGACAGCAGGTTTCCACTCTTCAGGTACCCTGAGGCACAAAAATGCCAAGAGCTTTAGAGGACCAGCAGTTTTCATTCCAGTTTTCAATGAGGATAAGGAACATTCAAGGCCACAGTCAAAAATCAGAAAAGGTTTCTGAGCCCACAGTCCTTGGGTATTTAGTACCTTGGATGATTTTCTGCTGCTGTTGCCGGATTTCATCAAAACCCAAGCCTCTGGTCTCCTCTGGCTCCTCAAAGAGCCAAGGGTTGGGTGCTCCTCGCTTAGCCTCTTCACTCATCAGGCTGGACCTAAGAACCACATTAAATGCATTACACATCTCAAAAAATACAGCTCAGATGCAAATTCCCCTCATAAGTGCAGAGGTGGCCAGCCTCCTATGCTTTGAAAATTCAATTTGCGCAATTTATTGCATCCTTAGTCTGTTCCAGGAACTGTGTTTAGTGTTAGAAGAGTTATGAGCATGAATAAGGCTCAAACCTGGTCCCCAGGGAATTACAGCCTGTTAAAGAGATGATGGGAGAACATAATACTCGTATAATCCTCCAAGATACATTTGACTCAATAATCATAGAAGAGGCTGATAAATGAGGTTCTTAAATTTCAACCACATAAAGCCAATTGGAAGTATTCTTCATACTAGGACATACTAGGACAAAGTTTCTCACAGGCCATGTGACACCAAATGTACAAATATTTTTCAAGCAGATTCAATGCTACAATTACTGATTATAGCATGAAAAAGATAATATAATTTTCCTTCGTTGCTTACAGACAGTAATGCATGCAGTTTCAAATCCAATTTTATGATTGTAATGTAGCATTCATAATATAATCAACACAGTCTGATTGTCCATCTTAGTCTTCACTCCCTCTAGTAACCCACATGCCCCGTTTGCACCAAACACATTGGGGATTTCCTGTTCCTGCTGAGACCAGTCTCTGCCTCAGTCCCAGTTTACTGGATTCTTCTCAAGTCGCTCTCTCCTGCCCTGACTTTTCCACAATCTATTTGAGCTGTGAGGATCACCTTGTTCAGGAAACTATGTCTGACCACTTCGAAACAAACGAAGGTTCACTTTAGAGCTGATTGGATTCAAAACAAAAATGACGATAGCAATGTTGCAGTAGTGGGAGTGACAGCAACAACTGACACAGTTAAGCACTTGCTATGTGCAGGCACTGCTCCAGCAAGTTACTTCTCCATCGTTGCTCATTCCTCTAGCCCCGATGGCATGGTTGTCTAGAGACAACCGATATCCCAATGCTTAACCTTTTATATAGATAAGACTTGATATGGGCTGGGGGCTCAGCATAGAGCGCTTGCCTAGCACGTGTGAGGCCCTGGGTTCGATCCTCAGCACCACATAAAAATAAATAAATAAAATAAAGGTATTGGGTCCAACTACAACTAAAAATTTTTTAAAAATAAAATAAAAAAAGACTTGGTAGAACAGAAAAATCACCTTTATTCTTCTATACCCTGTTTTCCATTATGGAGTGAACAGCTAACAACAGTACATCACTTACCAGAAGTATAGGGATAGTTATATCCATCTCCACAGGTTCTGGGAGGATTAAATAATTAGTTTATTTAAAAAAAAAAAAAATCTGTGGTGGGTGCAGTGGCACAGGCCTGTAATCCCAGCAGTTCAGGAGGTTGAGACAGGACGACAGCCTCAGCAATTTAGCGAGGCCCCAAACAATTTAGTGAGATGCTGTCTCTGAGTATTTTTTTTTTAAAGGGCTGAGCATGTGGCTCAGTGGTTAAGTGCCCCTGGGTTCAATTTTTTTTTTTTTTTCTTTGCTCAGTACTTCTGTGAGAGGTACTATTCTAATTAACAGGGATAAAGAAAAAACAACTACAGGCAAACCAAAGTCTCTGCCTTACAAAGTGCAGATTCTCATTATAGGTGCCATTTTCATTCCACCTTGTGTGTGTGGCTTCGGGCGGGGGGAGGACAATATGTAAAATGTGGGAAAAATGCTTAATGTAGTGCTTAGAAAACAAAAATCATTCAAGAAACTAACTTATCATTATACCAATTATTGCATTATATACACAGGAGACACTTAAAATTTTCAAGCCCAAAAAGTCATATTAATTTAATTTTTAGCTTAGTCCTTTAAAACCAACCAAAGAACATAATATGTATTAAGAAACAAACCCAAGCCAAATGAGGAAATTTTTTTTTAAATCGTTAGACTAAGATTTTAAGCATATAGCTGGTCTCCCTTATTCAAGTGTACTATAATTAGCATGCCAAACACTTTCACTTTATCCAAAAGACAGATGTGTTCTTTAAAGCCTTAACTTCACATGATTGGCCCCCAAGAATCCAAGATGTCAAGATTTCAGATTCCATATAATAATTATTTAATTCCACCTAGCTTTGCAAATTTACTTCTTTCCTTGCTTTTTCTTCAATCAAAGCATACCCCTAAACCCTTAAACCATCTTGCAAGTGCCAGCCTTTGTCAAAACAGGAATCACGTGGGATTCTGTATACAGCTCACTCCAGTGCATGGATCACAGGCATATAAAGTAACCTCAGAAGTGCATCAGTGACCAGCTATTAGTATCCATTCAAATGAATAAATTGCAACTAGGTGATACTGCTTCTCTAAGTTACTGCTGAAATGTTCCACTATTGGTCCTTGTGGTAACACATGCTTTTAAAAATTAATACAAAAGGGCTGGAGGTATAGCCCACTGATAGAGTACACACTTAGCACGAGTGCAGCTGTGAGTTCAATCCCCAGAGCACACATGCACGCATGCACACATGCACGCAAATTAATGTTAAAAGGGAAAAAATGTACAATTTCTTTTAGTAACCTCAAAAAAATGACAAATTGGGACTTCAGCAATGTATGTACTTTTTCATAATATCTTTATTTTTATTTATTTTTATGTGATTCTGAGGATCGGAACCCAGTGCCTTGCACATGCTAAGCGAGCGCTCTACCACTGAGCCCAGCCCCACGCGTGTGTGTATATGTATGTGTGTGTGTGTGTGTTTTAAACACCTTTTAGAAAGCAAAAGTGACAACATAAATACAATTTAATAATACTATTAAATACACATCACCAACAGACATATAGGAAAGACTTCCTAGAGTTATCTAATTCCCAAAGCTGATTTGCCATCTCCTCCTCTCTTCCCTCCTCTCTATTTTGGTGTTTTCGGTTTTGCTGATGTCCTAAACCTGCCAGGAAATCCAGCAATGCATGTGCCTTTCTTTAATAAGAGCGGGTACAATATTAAGATTACAGGTATTTTTATATGTAGAATGCTTTATTTTCTTTATAGATTCATCATTTGGGATGATGCCTATCATTCAGTACAGTTCTATACACAATGGCCCTGAGTGTGCTGCATCAGAATCTGGGAGTAAGGGGGGAAAAAAATGGCACATGAATAGTTAAAAAGAAGCGCCACATATAAAAATTCAGGCAAGGCATGTCCTCCATCCTTTACCCTGATTGAAAAAAATCACTGTTAAAAACTTACCAATTTATCTCTACCCGTGATATTTTCCTATGTGTTCTCTATCTTAAATGAAAAGGCACAAATACAGAATCTCCAACTGGCATTCCTCCAAACTTAACATATACAAAGTCAAATGCATTATTTGCATCCTGTAAGCCTTACTTCTCCTGCACCCTCTGTTTTGGTCAGCAAGTCATGCAAGCCATGATTTTTGCTCTTCTCCCCCACATCTCATCAAAGGCCAAGGCCTCCCTCAGAGGTGGTTCTCAACTCCATGTCCTCATTTCCATCCCCAGTGGTAGAGCCTCCTGGGCTCAGACTCTCATCATCTCTCACGTGGACGGTGGAGATGGTGTTCTTCTGATTGGTCTCTATGCTCCCAGTCACACTCACCTAAATCATCTTATACTTATGCTGCTAGAATTATCTTTCTAAAAACAAATATCTCACCATATCATTTCTATATTTCAAGACTTCTGTGACTCCCCAGAAGCTACAGGTCAAGTGTGAGCTTAACACGAGGCCCTGGTGATCTCTGCATCATCATCTTTCAACATCCCCCCTTCCACACCCTGCCTCTCCTTCAGCCCTACACACTGCTCAACCACTCAGACAAAGACACAAACTTTCACACTCTCATGTTTTTGTATGAGTCTGAAGTGTCCCCACCCCCATCTCTTTGTCCATCTGGCAAAATTCTATTCATCCCCTAAGGCTCAACTCAAATGTCACTTCTGCTGCTTAGTCCTTCCTGATCCCCACCCCCTCCCCCTTCCCGAGAATCAATCACTCGCCGGTGCTCCCATGGCACTTTGCTCATGACCTCTAACGTGGCATTTATCAAGCAGGATTGTAGTTAGTTATTTACTCATCTGTCTCCCTTCCTAAATTATGAGCTCTGTGAGGAAAGAGGCCACATGACAGTCATGTTTATCCCCCCCTAAAAAAAAAAAAAAAAAAAAAAACCACCAGCCTCAGAATACGCCAGAGAAGCAGCATTCAGTAAATGTTTACGAAACAGAACTGGGAAAACCACTGAGGGCACTGAGGGCTTCAAGCCAAAGGAAGATAAAATGAGAAAAGTACTTAACATTTTCATTTTGAGAGATTAAAAAAAAAAATCCTACTTATCAACTGCTACCTGCCTTCAAGATTTTAGCAGCAAAGAGTAACACTGTTCAAGCAGATGAAGAGAATTTCTTGAAAGGAAATTCTGTCAGTTAAACACCTTGTATCTCAACCTCACTTTTGGAATGACAAGCAAGGAGTATTTCTCCTTTGCAAAGGAAGTTAAAGAGAGGAAATGCTAATTCTTATGTTGCCGAGTTTAGGACGGACTTCATTTTTTTTTCCTTGCTGGAGATGTAAGCCAGGGCCTCACACATGCTAGGCAAGTGCTTTACCATTAAACCACTCCTCCAGTCCTTGGCCTTAAACTTCTGGGCTCAAGTGATCCCTCTGTCTCAGTTTCCCCAAGTAGCTGGGATTATAGGTCTGCACCACAGTGCCTGGCTCCCACCTTTTTAAAATGTATCAAAAATGTTTATCTAAATTCTTTCAAGATGGAACTTATCTAATAAAAAGAATTTATCAGATAGATACTAACATATTTATTAATATGGCATTTGTCTCACATAGATCTTACCACAAGGTTTCAGTCACTTTCTAAAGACAAAAATGATTTCATTTTCATCCCCCAAAGAAAACAGCATATGTTATTAAATTGTAATAATATGGGGGCACAGATAATCCATCTTTCTGTTGACAAATGAAGCTGAAGCTTGTTAAAGTTCATA